GTCGATGGTGTTCCTGAGGGGGGCCCTGGCACGATGGAGTGGTGCCAGGGGAGCCATCCTGCAGGTGGATCCACCTCCATGGGTTCCTCCTGGTCTGCAGGTGGATCCACCTCCATGGGCTCCACACCATCAGCCACCTGAGCGACGGCCATCACCGCCAAGTAGCTGCTGGTACCTCCCCTCCGACGCTGCCTCTTCCTCCGCACCCCCAGAAAATCTTTTTCCGTTTGCCCACGCAGAGGTGGGCACCCGCTCGCTTCGCTGTGGGACCTCTTTCTGCCAGGCATGGCTGACATCTCCAGTCCAGTAGCTCAGCGACTGGGGGCCAGGTGCTGGGGGCCCGGGATTTATAGCATGCAGAACAGAACACGATGAGGTAGCTCATAACATCAGGAGGCCATTGTGATGGCTTCAGAAATAACCATATTTGGCTATTCTGGCAGTTGGGGGGCCTGTGCTCTTAAAGGTACCCTCTGCCCTTAAAGCGTATCCTCCTGTGTGAGGAAGAAGGGGGTCAGGAGGAGCTGAGGGCTCCTTTCCTGGGGATCGCTCCCCTGTGGCCATTCCTAACGGAGGGACAGTTCATGGAGGGGGTCTGCAATGTGGGCTGTGATTCTTCTGAGGAGGGCCAGAGTTGGTTGGCCTCTACCCACCCATCCCTTTCAGCATTTTAATGGCCGAGGGATCATTAATAATCTACGTCAGCCAGACAGAGACTCTCCACTGGCTTTGGTGGAATTTTGATCAGGCTCAACACAAGTGGCTTCTTACAGATCTCAGGGAGAAGAGGATAAAAATTTACAAGGTGCAATGGGTCCAGAGAGGTGAGGCAGAGGCCGAAGAGGATGACTGCTATGAAGATGCTGCTTCAATTGCACTTCATTAGCAGAAGGATACCATTTCTTAGGGGGGATGGCAATGCCGCCCTGAATGGGATTCACACTTGGAGAAATGAAAGAGAGCTTTACCAGCTGTAGTATGAAGCCACACAACATCTTAAATCATGGCAGCTCTTAGTCCATCCACAAAAACCAGGGCTTTCATAGCTGTAGAATCGCCTCTAAATGGGGATACAGCCTTGGGATATTAGATAAAGTGGGACATAACATTGAACAGGTCTTACAGTCACTGTAGGTATTTCCATGAATAAAAGAAGCACAACGCCTTGAAAATGAACTGACCTGTTGGGACTTTTGACTTTCTGTCCAAGCAACGCTAAGTGTGGGTTGGATGAATGGCCAGTGAGGTGGATTGCAAAGTGGCTGAAAGACAGAGCTCAGAGGGTGGTGATCAGTGGCCCAGAATCCAGTTAGAGTTTTCTGTAACAAGTGGGGTGCCCCAGGGGTCAGGACTGGCTCCAGTCCTCTGAATTCCATGTATTCATCCATGACCTGGATGAAGGGATGGGATGTACCCTCAGCAAGTTTGCTGATGGTACAATACTGGGAGGGGTGGCTGACACCCCAGAAGGCTGTGCCCGCCATCCAGTGAGACCTGGACAGGCTGGAGAGCTGGGCAGAGAGGAACCTGATGAAATTTAACAAGTGCAAGTGCAGGGTGCTGCACGTGGGGAGGAGTAACCCCCTGCACGAGTAGAGGTTGGGGGCTGAGCTGCTGGAGAGCAGCCCTGAGGAAAAAGACCTGGGAGCCCTGGTGGACACCAGGATGCCCATGAGCCAGTAATGAGCTCTTGTGACCAAGAAGGCCAATGGCATCCTGGGGGGCATCAGGCAGAGAGTGTGGCCAGCAGGTGGAGAGAGGTCATCCTGCCCCTCTACTCTTCATGTCGAGGTCCCATCTGGAGCACTGTGTCCAGTTCTGGGCTCTCTGGTTCAAGAAGGAGAGGGAACTGCAGGAGATGGTACAGCAGGGGGCTACTAATGTGTTTAGGGTCCTGGAACATCTCCCTTAGGAGGAGAGGCTGAGGGACTTGGGTCTTCTTAGTCTGGAGAAAAGAAGACTGAGGGGGGATCTGATCAACGCCTATAAATACTTGAAGGGAGGGTGTCAGGAGGACGGGGCCAGTGTTTTCTCAGTGGTGCCCAGTGACAGGACAAGAGGTAACGGGCCCAAACTCGAACATAGGCAGTTCCATCTAAACATGAGGAGGAACTTCTTTGCTGTGAGGGTGGCAGAGCCCTGGAAGAGGCTGCCCAGAGAGGTTGGGGGTGTCTCCATCTCTTGAGACATTCAAAACCCACCAGGACACATTCCTGTGCAACCTGCTCTGGCTAGACCTGCTTTGGCAGGGGTTTGGACTGGGTAGTCTCTAGAGGTCCCTTCCAACCCCACATCGTTCTGTGATTCTGTGATTCTTGTGCATGTCGTGTGCCTAGACTTTCTGCTTGAGTTTAGAGGGCTTAAAGACACATTTATTTTTCTCCTTCATGTCTGTTAGTGACTGCTAGCAGCTATGGTGTTCCAGGTTTCATCATCCATTATGGGACAGTTGGCTCAGCATAGGCAGGGCATTTTGGAGCTCCAGAAGAGTGATTTGTGGCACGGTCCTGAGGGGATCCTGAGCATTTAGCAATCTGAAAACATCCATCTGTATGAACAGAGGCTGTTTATACTTCTGTTACGAAGGTGTTTTTTAAAAGTCTGCTATCCTGAAGCTCCCGACTACTATGACTTAGTAGTTTATAAAGATTTTGGGTGGTCCTTTACATCATCGCAGAATCTGTATCTAGCTTCATGTGTGTGGATATTTAGAAGTAGAATACCTCTAATTCATTTCAGTAATTATAACATCAGCAAGGGAGGCTTGCCACTGTTGTTGTTCGGGTACTAAATGTTCCCTTGTGCTTTTGCAGTGTTAGAGCTTGCCTATTTTTTTTTTTTTCCTCTAAAGAAGAAACTAATCTAATTACTCTAAGACAAAGATGGAACTAACGACTTTTATGTCTCTGGCCAAGCTGAGATTCTAAGTGAAAGATTGTGATCTCAAGCAGTCACTAAGGATTTCTTAGTGGTTTTGCAGGTAGAGGTTCAGCTTGGTGTCATGACCACTTCTAGCATGCACTATTCTTAATTTCAGGGGAAAAGAAAGCCATCTTTAACTTTTTCTGTGTGATGCTGCCCAAGCCTCAGTGCACTCTGTGGGTTTGGTATCAGCAGGCAAGCCTGAGGCTTGAGAGGCGCAGAAGATGTTGTATGTGCTCTCTCATCTGCAGCATAGAGCTCTCTGACTCTGTACAAACCTGTACAGAGGCACTTTAGGATCTGTTTGAATGGTTAAAATATATTCAGAATATGTGTCTATTATTGAATGCAAGGGATAAACAGAGTAATGTCAATTGGTTTTTGTAAATGCTTCTGTTTTTTAACAGTGTAAATACATATTGTCAGTAACATAGGCTGAAGGTTTTATAACTTAGAGTGAAATGCTCCTGCCACTGTCTTCACTTCTGTTCACTTCAGCAGACTTGGAATTTCATCCTCGTTTATTTGTTTTTAAATATGTCCCAAATTAATTCCTTCCTGCTGAAAGCATAGTCATGTGTTCTGGTAGTATTGTTCCAAACAATACTTGTGTCTTTATCTGTCACACTGGGTTCCACCCAATTTGTTTGTTATGTTCCCAGACAGTAAGTACTGTCACATTATGTCCCCGTCTTGTGTATACATCCCTGAATTGTAATGTTGGGTGTAAAATCAAAGATCTGGTTGATGAGTATTTTGAACCAGAAAGAGGTATGCAATATCTTATTGACTTGATTCTTTGCTGGAACCTGTGGAGAGACACTGGGAATGGGGTGTAGCTATAAAAAGCCTTATTAGGAGTTTACTTAGAGGGAAGGTATGCCCAGAGGGGTTTGAAGCTATCTCCCGAGTGAGATGAAAGGCAGTGCTGTGTGCCCTGTAAGGTGCCTGGGGAGGCTTTTGAACCCATGGGAGAGAGAGGGTTAAGGGCCCTGTAGTGCCTGTGTGTGCTGTCTCAGCTTGTGACTGCTATTTCTAAAGTTAGAGATCTCCAAGGATTAAAATCAAGAGAGACTGAAGTTCTGCAACATGCCCTATTTGAGGGCTTTGCCTCTTGCTGAGGTTAATCTACTCTCCTTTTGCAAGTTAGAAAGGTATTTGGTCTCTGCCAGGCATTTACTGCCTAATGATTGTTCTACTTATTACCTGTATTGTCCCCTGTCATCTAAACTTCCCATGTATTCATTTCAGTACCACAGTATCAAGTTCAGGTGAAGAAAGCCTATTTTTTTTTAATTAGGATGAAGATATTTAAGACTTTCTTTTTGGAATCCGGCTATAATCCAACAAGCTCAGAAAGTATCCGTGCCAGATCTAATTCTATCCAGTGCCCAGTAGTTTGGGTACATCCATGTCCAATTTGCTGAGAGTATCAAAATAAACAATTTCTCTTGACCCATGAGCACATGCTTCACTTAAAATATTTGTGTCAGGATCACTCAAACAGCTCTCAACACTTCTGTTTCCCAGTTGACTCTGTCTCTTGTTTGTGTTATTCATCACTAGGCAAGTAGCTATCATCCCAAAATAAAGCCAGAAGAATTTAGGAGTAGGTCATTTCTTTGAGTTAGCTTGATTAATTTCTTTGTATATAATGTGATCTGTCTTGGTTGTGCTGTATAAAGTTATATGGGGTTTTATATGTTTTTCTTTAAATATTAAAATAATTGTAGAAGGTGTTGGATTTGATATCAGATGTATTATTTCTTTGGTTCCTCCAAAATTAAGGGGGTGTTTGGGAACTCTGCTCCTTAGATGAAGGAGCTGGTGCATTGTGATCACTTCTTCAGAAGTACTCTGATCTTATCTTAGGAGTCTGGTTACTGGCCTCTAGTTCTGCACCTGTGACTTCCAACAGCAAATAGAGGGAAAAGCATCTGTCAACTGGAGACCTGTGTATTCTGATAGTGCGTGAGGAACTCTTAAATGTCTACAGTCAGGATTGGGCTAAAAGACTGAGAAGCTGTGTGGCACTCATTTTTGTTTAATCACATTTCTCAAATCTCCATCCACTGCAGAAACCGGAGCCAAACAGTCAGTTCTGAAACCAGCGTGGATGAAAGTGGGGTTTTTGAAAGTCTGAAGGCTGAAGCTTCCTCCCCACAGCAGCTGTTCTCAGGCCTGGCAGGTATCCCCTCGGGCACCATCACAGCCACCCCGTTCCAGTCAGGCTTGGTTCTGGGCTCTTCAGCGGGAGGTGGGGAAGTTTTCATTCAGATGCCAGCCCCGAGGGACGAAGGGACCAGTCGTACAGAAGGAGCCCCGTTTCACCACCGGCAGTCATCCCATCATTTCCACCACGGCCACCACCGGGGTTCATCTCTGCTGCACATGGCAGGAGGGGACCGCCATGGGCACGCCGAGGAAGGCAGTGATGAACAAGCTGGAACTCCAGCCCCGGCTCTTTCAGAGTTAAAAGCTGTGATCGGTTGGCTGCAGAAGGGACTTCCCTTCATCTTGATCCTCCTGGCTAAAGTTTGTTTCCAGCATAAGCTTGGTAAGCATCTATCCTTTCTAGATTTTAAGTGTGTAAGAGGGTGGTTAGGAAGCTGTATCATGCTGTGGAGTCTGATACATTTGTCCCCATGACAGTGTCTAGAGGTAGTCTAGCATGAAGGGGGCATAGTCAAATGCATTTGATAAATTCATCCTACTTTCAGACCAAGCTGTTTTCATCTGTGTCAGTCCCATCTGTTTCCTGTCCTGACCTGGGGGAGATCAGTTCTGTACTTTTCCCTAATCTCTCCTTGACATTTCTGTAGGGACTGAAGGTGTTACCAAGGCTTCTTCCTCAGACGTCTCTCTAGGAGAGATGGGGAGAGCTCACATTAGTGATTAGCAAAGGTCTCTGTGTAGCACAGAAGGGCTCAGAGGGATGAGACACTTGTAGAGCTAGAAGAATATTAGTTGTGAAATCAAGCCAAAGAGCATCAGCGGTTACACATTGCAGTCCTGGTCTTCAGAGTGCCTTAAAAATATGTCTATCCAGGTTTCTTTATTGGTACCTGAGTTTTTCAGCACCTTGGTGGTCATGTAAAATCTGTTTACCTAATCCTCTTCTTACTACAAAACTGTATGTGTGGCATGTCTGAGGATCCTTACTCATTCTGGGAGTAGTATGCTGAGGTTATTATCTCAGAGAAGCCAGTAATGCTTGAGTTTAGTCCACTTACAGCTCTGCCAGTATTCCCCAAAACAGGTATTGATTCATGTATGCAACATCTTGCCCTTTGGACCTGGTATCCCGTATGATTTTGATAGTGAGCCCTGTCACCCACGAGCTGCTGAGCTGCTATTGTAGTAGTGTCATGTAGCTGAGTTCCCTTGGCACAATGCAGCCACAACTTGCAGCACTTCTGCTCTGCTTCAGCACAGAACCTGACATTAGGACAGTGTTTGTATTGGGCTGGGTGGCAAGTGCTCACTGAAGTAGCTTCATTTTCATTTAACTTGAATTTGGACTTTATATGAGTCTAAGCTGCCCTGTTTTAGTTGCCTACATATTTAAATTTCCAGCGCATCCAGAATACCACCTAGTAAATTTCTTTTCTAAGCTTGAGATGCTGATATCAAATGGCTTAGGACTGAAGATCCTCCTGCCCAGCCGTATGTACCTGACAGTGTCTCTCCCCACAGGGATTGCTGTGTGCATTGGCATGGCCAGCACATTCGCATACGCCAACTCAACGCTCCGAGAACAGGTTGCTCTGAAGGTGAGTACAACATCTTACTCTTTTACAGAATCACAGAATCTTCTAGGTTGGAAGGGACCTTAAAGATCATCTTGTCCAATCATCAACCGAACTGACAAAAATAGACACCCACACAACAAACAAGGAGCATCATCACTAAACCAGACCTCCCAGCACTACATCAACCCGTCTTTTGAACACCTCCAGGGATGGTGCCTCAACCACCTCCCTGGGCAGCCCATTCCAATGCCTGATAACCCTTTCAGTGAAAAATTTTTTCCTAATATCCAGCCTGAACCTCCCCTGGCACAACTTGAGGCCATTTCCTCTCGTCCTGTCGCCTGTGACTTGAGAAAAGAGACCGACCCCCACCTCTCTACACCCTCCTTTCAGGGAGTTGGAGAGAGCAATAAGGTCTCCCCTCAGCCTCCTCTTCTCCAGCTCCCTCAGCCTCTCCTCATAAGACTTACTCTCCAGACCCCTCACCATCTTTGTCGCCCTTCTCTGGACCCACTCCAGCACCTCAATGTCTTTTTTATGGTAGGGGGCCCAAAACTGGACACAGTTCTCAAGGTGAGGCCTCACCAGTGCCGAGTACAGGGGGACAATCACCTCTCGGGCCCTACTCACCACGCTGTTCCTGATACAGGCCATTCCCAAGCGGCATTGCTCTTTGTATGCAAAGCAATGTCTATGCTGAACCTTCTTTTGCAATGTAGGGATGGATGCCATTATATCTGTCAGAATAAGAGTACTGTGCTGTAATGCATCCTCCCTTCCCCTTCCTGCTTCTCCCCACTGATGCTCTCCCACAGTTTCCATCCTGCTCTTTTGTGAAAGTGTGGCATTGTAAAACGAAGAGGGGGAAAGTCAGGGATATTGTTATCTGCCTCTGGTTCTGCCACTGACTGGCAGTGCATCTTCAAGCACTTCTCTCTGATGAGATTTAATTTATTAGCATTTAGATTATGTTTTGAGATGTTCAGCTGAAGGATTCTGTAGATGTATTGCTTGTTATTATCTTTATAATGGTTAGTAATATAAAGAAACCAACAGATCTTTTCAGGCCTTCTGATCTTTAGTGTCAGCAGAATACTTCAATAGCACTAAAAGCACAAGATTAGAATTGCTTTTTTTTTGTAAAAATGACATGGGTGGCGTAAGTGTACACTTATATCTACCAGCAGCAGTGGAATAAATGGGATACAACGCTGAATGAACAGATAAATTGCACAATCATGTAATAGATTGCTGTTGCCTTGCACTTTGCACCTCTGTCTTTCCAGCAGTGTGCCCCTTAATCTGCCTGCTTTAAATCTCAACCTAACATCCCTGGCTGGTGAAGAGCTATTTTCTTAATAAATCAGTTCACAAGAAAAACACTGGGGTTTTTTTTTCCCCTCCCAGGAGTAAAATTTACTTTCCAAAATTACAGAGTCAAGACCCAGGACAAGCTTTTCTGCCATCCAGCTTCTGTCTATAATGTTCCTGGTCTTTTGAAATGCAAAATTTGCACTTCTTTTGACCTTTAATTAGTTCTTCGATCAAAAATTCATGTTCTAGAACCTGCATGCATTCAGATAACATTAATACCTGCTGCATTCAGTGATGGGTTGTGTTATATTTAATTTAGCTAAGCCTTCTTGTAAGTGACTTTGGATCTATTTGTGAAACAACTCTTTCAAGAAGGGTCATTCCAGAGAGAGGTGGCAACTCAGAATTACAGTACAATATATGGAACTGTCTGGTTTTTTAATATGCTTTTCAAACTGCATTTTAAATATCAGGAGAATTTAGATATCCCAAGAAAGGTCCCAACTTTGAAAATTGTGTTCAGGAAGTAAGGCTGTCATTTTCAGCCGTGTATTTTGAGTAATTTCTCTGAAGTTCCTTTACTTATGAAGGTTAGGTGAGTGAGAGCCATTTCTGCTTTTGTTTATATATGTCTTTACCTAGCAGCCTATTTCTGAGTCTTAGTCCAATGTAAATAAACTAATTACTGATCCCTTAGTTGCATATTTGTGTCCCCTGAGTTAGTCTTGCATTTTTTCAGCAGCTGAAGGCTCAGTGCAACCCTTGAGACTTAGAATTTATCTTTGCTTCTCGTTCTTGCTCAGGAGAAGAGATCAGTGTTGGTTGTCTTCTGGATCCTGGCCTTTCTCACCGGGAACACCTTGTATTTGCTTTACACATTCAGCTCTCAGCAGCTGTACAACAGGTGGGCAAAATTTACGTTGGGCATGATGGCAGCAGGTGATAATGGCCAGGGAGGAGGAGAGGGAAGCCCACTTTTCTCCACACTGTGGGAGGAAGTGTGTGTACTTAAGGTATCTGCCGTCTTTGTCACACCTTTGTAATTCCTTTCGATGGAGGAAGAGAATGTGTGCATTGCTTCTACCAGTGGACTATGCTCCTATCAATAAATGACATAACCAGAGTCTAAATGGGCCGGGTGTGATGATACACTACAGTGTTACTGCTTGAAACATCTACACTTGCAATTTTCTTATGCACTGGAGCAGGGTGGATACTTTTCTATAGTGGGACTTCTGAATTTCCATTTTGACCAGTGTGGCTGAACCTAAAGAGCAGGTGTTGGAAGCAGATAAGAATTTGACCCACCTGATTTTCCTCTTCCTGTAATGTTTTCTTTTCTCTTCAGTCTATCAAGTTTCAGCCTATTACAGGAGATAAACTGGAAGTAGAATAGTAGTGTTTTACTTCAGGGCTTGGAGGCATTTGGATCTGAGGTAATTAAGATAGCCTCTGCTTTTAAATTCTGACTAAAGCGGTTCTCAAATACAGGAAAGTTAGTGCCCATGGATTTGGTTCAGTACTATCCCTGCTTATTATAAAGCAGGGATTAAATGAGCCATAGGAAGCAAAGATACAGAACTTAAGCAAGGGGATATTAGTAGAATAAATAGGAAGAAATGGAGCAATATCAAACGTGGTTACTTGAGGAAGCAGCTAAAAGTGTATGAATTATCTTCCCAATGAAAATGTTATTTGTCCCACTGAAGGGGACTTAAAACTTCAGACTGAAAATACAATGTTTGTAACATGCATCAGTTGGGTTATGGCAAGATGGCTCTTGGGTATGTTTTTTGTCATTTATTGCCCTTCATGTATTTGGATCATCGGAAAGCTGTGTGTGTAAATGCTTCTAGAAAGAGGGAGAGATGAGGAGGCTGTAAGTGTGGGTCCGAATGAGAGATGGCAAACCATGGGATACTCTGTATAGGGATTGTGGGAGGAAATGGAAGAGAAGAAACAGGTAGGACATAAAGGTGTGAAAGCAATTAGAATAAATTTATTTGCACCCCAGGGAAACTGTGTGTCCCTAAGAAGGTGGTTAAGGTTAAAAGCATGAATGGGACAGGTTTAAAATAAAGGATGGATCATATAAAATAAAAGCGTTTCAGGAAATTGGGGCCATTTTATACACTGTTCAGGGTGTGGTTTATGAACAGTGAACAGGCTGGGCAACGGCTTCCCTGAAAAGCCCTATTCCTGCCAGCATTGCAGTGGTGTCTGCTGGGTCATGCTTGGTATCCATTGCTTGCTGTGTGGGGACCTGTGGCTACTTGTGAGGCAGACACGCAAAATCAGAAACAGCGGCTTCAGTTTTGTTTCTTTCTGGCTTATTTTTCATTTCCTGATTTATTTACTTTTTGCTTGTTTCTAGTGCATGAATAGTAGTAAAGTCTCTGATTCTGTTTCTGTTTTTAGGGTATAATTTTACCTGTTGTGCTGTGCCAGTGTTGTGAGTATTTTGAATTCACGTTCAGGCTTTTTATTCTGGGTTGGTTATTTTACTTTTGCTTTTTTTTTTGTTTGTTAAATTTTTGCTTTCTACCATGAGGCTTTATTAGGTAAATATCCTGAAGAGGAATCCTATTTTTTCAGTCTGAGTAGGGTGCAGTCCTCATTGCTGCTTAGGTCAGTAGCTCCTGCCCACTGCTACATGAAGTTCTCCTGTCTTGGACTCCCCTTCTTTAAAGGGCAAATGTTCAGCCCATTCAAGAACATTATATAAAGGACACTACATTTTTGGGTCTTTGGTTTGGGTAGGAGATGCTAATTAACACAGCCCAGCTCTTGGTTTGCTTCAGACAGTGGCAGAGCACGAGGCATCTGAAGTTCTGCCCTCTCTGCCACATTTAATACACCGCTTCCTTTGTCACCAGTTTGTTTCACATGGACAAGTGGCTTTAGAGACTGCTGTTTGGGTCCTGCTTTCTAGTAGTGGGCAAACCTGCTGACCTCAGCAGAAATGGGCAAGAACAGACAAAGTCAAGAGGCCCAGAGGAACCATGGGACTACTTTGCATGTCTTATTCCTATCGCCCTCGAGAACTTCACTGAGGTTCAGTGCAGTTTCTAGGCTTTCTCTGGCCAGCAGTGGATAGAGCTGGATAGAGTGGATAGAAGCTTAACTGAGGTTCTCCTCATTGGTATTTGAGCCTTGTTGTCATGCTTTTCAGCCTCATCTTTCTGAAACCCAACCTTGAGAGGCTGGACTTCTTCGACCTGATGTGGATCGTGGGGATTGCAGACTTTGTACTGAAGTACCTCACCATCGCATTGAAATGCCTGATTGTCGCCCTGCCTAAAATCATCCTAGCTGTCAAGTCAAAGGTAAGAGTCATATCTCTTCTTGATATACAGATTATTGTCTTTGATAATCTAATACCTTTACAAAATGTCTGCAGCATGAAATATGGCTGGAAGAAAAAAAATAGTAAAATCTCTGGTAAAAATTTGGCAGAAAGTCACCTCGGTGGTGAGCTTTGGTTTTTGAGCCATCACAGACCTCAGCAAGGGTTTGGTAATGCCAGCAAGTAATTAAACTCCAGAGAGAGGTAAGCATTGCTTGAGAAGGAGCAGATACTAGAGGTGAGACAACTGCTTTTCTGGTTCACTTTGTTCTAAGTCTTGTTTTCTGAGTAATCTCTGTGAACAGATATTTCTTAAGCACAAATCTCTTAATTTAGTGGAAAGAAAATGCAAGTACTTGTCTCTTTGGCTTTCCTCTTGGATCAAAGAAGAAACAGCATTAAATTGAAGCTACTGATGCCACAAAAGGCAGCACCAGTTCTAGCCGTAGGTGAAGAAATACTGTAGCAAAATGGTGAACGTACTTAAATGTTTAGACAATCCTATGTAGACTAGGTCTAACTATTGAAACTTTTTCACTGCATTCTTTCTCTTTATATACTTTTTCATGGTTTTTCACTCTTACAGATCTGTCACGCCGCCCCTTTCTCCGCTCAGTAGCGTCTATGTTTCAGCAGCAAATGTAGCAATGTGTGTTATTTGCATTTGGTAAAGAAACTTCCTGGCAGCTAAAGGGATGAAAAGGCACTATATAGATGCAAGATATTATCATTCACCGCTGAAAGTCTCAGGCAGGGCACTTAAGGGGATATCTAAACTGGGAATAGTTTTGCTTACAAATGACATGGGTGGCAGGGGAGTTGAGCAGTTTGTTCCTGCACAGCAGGGCTATTCGAGATGGTTATTAATTTATTTCTGGCAATTGTCCAGCTCTTTTTTTTTTTTTTCCTCCTTCTATTATTATTATTTTATTTTGGGAGATTAATGTGCTAGGTCAGAGCATAATCCAGCCTGGGGAGGGAGGGAAAAGTGATGTGAATAGTCTTCCCAAGATAAATTGCAGTGTTGGAAAAGGTTCACAGCCTTTGCTTGCTTGTCTGAGAGCTATCCCAAGTACTCATTAATCCTTGTCGGGAGAGAAGAAAGAGAAGGGGTCTTTATTTGCAGCTACAGTGGGAGGCTGGTAAGATCACATCTGTCAAGGGCCTATAATGACTCAGAGCACAGATGCTTCATTTTTAATACCTTTTTCTGGATAGCAATATTTCTCACTTTTTTTTAAAGTCCCTTTTTGTCTTAGGATGTTGTTGATGGTCTCACTGTCCCTTGACATCTGAGACTGCTGTTACCTACCACTACGGATCTGGATTTATTTTTATCCCCCTTCTCTACACTGCATCCATTAAGCCAACCAAGGATGAGATCTGGTGTAACAAATTAAGCAAGATCAAACTGGGATGGGAGAGCTCCAAGAGAACCCCAGGATGCCATAGAAATTGTAATTGGTAACCACATAGCTGAGCTCTTTCCCTGAGTCTCATGACTTCTACAGGCCAACTCAGTGCTACACATCTTATTTTTCAGATATTTTTTTAAAATGTAAGCTTTTTCCAATAGGCACATTAACTTTGACCAGATTATTTCCGAGTTATTTGCTATCTAATACTTGCTAGAAGCAAAGTTACTCTCTTCCTCCCCGTATGCTTGTAGTAGTGTTTCTGCTGGAAGCTTAGCTTGTAGATCATGAACTCCTGCATGGTAGCAGGTAGCAAACTGCTGGAAAATACCAACTAAACTCACAGAGTAGAGCTAGAAGATTTATTCAAGAGAATTATACTGAGAATTATTTCTGCTGATGTAACTAGTCAGGACAGCAGGTTCTAGCTCCCCATAATACAAGGCTTGAGGTGGAGATTGCTTTACTGGCAGGGATAGAGTTCAGCTCAGCTGTCAATGGGATAGAGGTATTTTATCTTGAGCTTCCTTGCAGTACCTTCTTGCTGGCAGTCAGTAATAGATGATAAAACTTGCCCATGGATGGTATATTGGGGACTTTGATCAGTCTGCATTCAACCTCCAAGCAGGCTCTTCAGATTTTCCTCATTTTGGAAGTTCAAAGGCACTTCCAAAGCTAGTCTGGCTTTTCATGCTGCTCCTTGAGATTCTAGTCTTCTCTGAATACTCTGGTTTCACTGATGCTTGCGTAGCCTTTCTAGTACGAGGCATCTCCTCCTTTTAAGTCTTTTACCTCTCCACATCCATTGTGATTGGGTTTTTCTTTTACACATCAAAGTCATCATATCTCCCCTCAGTCTCCTCTGTAGACTAAGTAACACCACGTTTTTGAGTCTTAGAGATCATTCCTTCCAAATCTGATTATTCTCTTCTGGACTGTCTTCAGTCCCCCCTGTTTTCCAGACCATTTTTCCAGTCTGTCAGGATGAGTTTGGATAATAATCCTTTCCAGTGTGTTTACAGTCTCTCACAGTTCAGTGTCAGCTGTGCATTTAATAAGACTACGCTGTTCCAGCAGGATCATTAATGAAAACAGGGAGTAGTACTAAACTCTGCTTATTTCAGTTAGATGCATCTTTTCATTTCGTCAGTGAATACATTAAAAATTTGGACTAGAGACCAAACTGAGTCTTCCAGACTCTGGAAGACTCAGCTGTCCCAGTCTAAAGTACTTGAGTTATGTATTCCTAGTATGGACCCATCACAGGAAGAGCAACATTTGGTTTAAGATGACATCAAGAACCAGCTTGGATTTATGCTTTAACTGAGAAAAAGCAAGCTAAAATTAGGTTTGTTTTTGCCATCAGGATACAGAGAGCAGTAAAGATGATCATGAGCATGTGAAGTGTGAAGCATGAAGACTGCTGTATTATCAGGATACAACTAGCCAGAGTTCTTCAAGCTTGACTATCTCAGAAATGGACTACCTCTACAAGCAGTGCCTCCAAGGAATGTGGGAAGATTGAAAATTTGACAAAATAATCCCAGACTTTCCCAGCGTGTTTACAGTCTTTCACAGTTCAGTGTCAGCTTTTCATTTAATAAGACTACGCTGTTCCAGCAGGATCATTAATGAAAACAGGGAGTAGTACTAAACTCTGCTTATTTCAGTTAGATGCATCTTTTCATTTCGTCAGTGAATACATTAAAAATTTGGACTAGAGACCAAACTGAGTCTTCCAGACTCTGGAAGACTCAGCTGTCCCAGTCTAAAGTACTTGAGTTATGTATTCCTAGTATGGACCCATCACAGGAAGAGCAACATTTGGTTTAAGATGACATCAAGAACCAGCTTGGATTTATGCTTTAACTGAGAAAAAGCAAGCTAAAATTAGGTTTGTTTTTGCCATCAGGATACAGAGAGCAGTAAAGATGATCATGAGCATGTGAAGTGTGAAGCATGAAGACTGCTGTATTATCAGGATACAACTAGCCAGAGTTCTTCAAGCTTGACTATCTCAGAAATGGACTACCTCTACAAGCAGTGCCTCCAAGGAATGTGGGAAGATTGAAAATTTGACAAAATAATCCCAGACTTTCCCAGGTTCCAAAACAGCCCGAGAAACAGAGGTGTTAAGATAGGCTGAGAGCCTACATTCAGGGCAGAAGGTAGGGAAAGAAGAGCTTGTGAATAGGGGAGAAAAGCAGAAAATGGAAGGTAACCCCAACATCAGACTCCAGTCTTACACCTCTGCAGTCAGCAGGAGTTAGCAGGAGAAGGAACATACCTGTGGCTAAAGGTGTCCCTTCCTCCCCACGAGCTGCGATCGACACATCAAGCCGAGCACAAGTTCTAATAGCAGCTGGGCTCATCATTCCTTTGGAAGGGGGGCTTGGCTCCCACCCTCCATGCTGAAGGCTCTCCATTAAAAAAGGCAAATAAGATCATTTGGTTCAATATAAAATGAATTAAAGTAAATTAAACTGCAGGAGCCATGTGGCCTGCAGAGGCTTCCATTGTTGTACACACATAAATGGCAGCTTTTCATTTTCACTGCTAAGGAATGACAGCTTGAGGGGGGTGGAATTAAAAATAAGGAAATAAATAATAAAAAGACACCGTTGCCAAAGATTTCCTTTAGGAAATCCCAGGTGCCTGCAAGTCTCCCATCCCCTCCTCATGCTGTTGTCAACAATCTAAGCTGATGTCCTGGAGAATGGAGTGAAGCATGGTGGGGGAGGAGGGAGAAAGAGACCCAAACCAAAAGAACCTGGGATACCAATATATCCCTTGTCTTTACAGGGGAGAAAGGTACCAAGGACACACTTTTTTCCAACAGTCTTTCTGGCTGGTATATATGAAAGGCCCTAAGAAGGAGTTTTCTTTGCACAGTCAGTACAGATGTGCAGCCAAGTTACAAGGGGCTGCATTTCCAGAAGATTGAAAATTCAAAAGGAAAACACTAACATTTGTTTGTTGAAAACACAGTATGAAATTACCATTGAATAAATACTTGCCAGTTTTGTTTGAAAGCTGGATGTAGACATTGGAAATGAGCTTTTTTTTTTTTGTGGCAAGACTGGCATTACTCATGAGAAGTTTTTTTCTTTATGCTGTTCAAATGGTGTCAGGGGCAAGTGTACAAATACTAGCTCACACTCTTACTGTGGACTCCTCACTGCATCTTTCAAAATATTTGCTTGGCAGAATTTTTCTTATTTAAAAGTACCATCTCCTCAAATCCAGTTGGAGAAAACTTGGCCTGTATGTAGCAGCCATTCTTTACAGTTTTGCTCTAGGACTTTGGGCCAGATGCCTGTTTCAGGCACACACAGTGTTTCCTAGAATAGATGGTTACAGCTCTGCCATGTAAACAGGCACATTAAGCTTTCCATATTCCTTCTGAAGCTGCACCTTGGACATGAAAGGATGTGTTTTCCATGAAGTAGTATGATTTGGATCAGCTGAAGCAAACTTTCTCAAACTATCTAATCTGTGATACCTGTGTATTCTGAGTCTGAAGCTAGTAAGGCTTGATTTTGAGTAGCCCCAGTGCTCTTCCATG